AACTGCTTTCTACAGTAGGCAAGCAACCCATAGCAATTTCCTTTAGGTTTTGAACAGTTACAATGAAATAAGGTTGCTGTTGATATCTGGTTGTCATATAGAATATGCATACACATCTAAAGTCTTGCAGAAAAAAAGAAAAATGAGGAAAAAGGAAAAAAAAAAAAAGCATACACGCCACAAATCCATGGAAATCATGTTTATCTTTGCTTTAACTGGTCAAATGTCTGTTAAGCAAATACATCTAAGTAGGAAATCAGAGCTTGACAAATCCCAGGAGCCTGGTCGACATGGCGACTAGAATTTGCATTCTGGTGCCTGGGTTCACACACTGCATCCCATGGACTTCAATGCAGAATTGCTTCCCATTGACTTCAATGCTAAAACTCTTCCCATTGACTTCAATGCTAAAATTCCTGTCAATAGCAATCCTGTGTGTGCACTTATCTCCACAAGGCACTCTACTCAATCACTTGCGACTCTAGAATGCACTGCTACAAACTCGCACAGGCCCCTTTTGGTAATGGCACTCAAAACACAATGTATGTGGATTGCATCTGTGTGAACCTCCCCAATAGGAACACATAATATCTAGCATGTCATGCGAATCTTTGGGTTTGAAAATGCATCCAGATTCCGCATAGGTGTGAACCAGGGATGCTCCATTCACACCTAAGTGTTTTGGATTGGGGCAGATTCACTGTAATCACTAAATGACGGTTCACGTGCCAAACCACACAGTTGCGTGGCAAATCACACCGCGTGAAGCTTGTTCCCCAAAAGTTGCCTCAACCTGGGTGCTGACAACCCACGCTATGCTAAAAAAAAAACTGGCTCCTAACTTTTTTAGCTGGCTCCTAGATTCAAAGCAAATTTGTCAAGCCCTGCAGAAATACTACATGCTTTGGGGGCACATGAAAGTAGGTCATAGTGTAATTGAGAATGGACCATTGTCCAGGGAAATCATACCTCCAATATGGTGGGTCTATTCACATCAGTGTGCAAAATTGCTTTCATGTTTATATCGTAGGTGAGTTGCTGTGCCACTCGTTCTTAATGTCATACCAACACAAAGCCTATTTGATATATTAAACATAAAATTAGTATTAGTAATGTTCATTTTATTGTGCGTTGTGTCTGCGTATTTGTCATTCTTTTGGTCTATAGGAAAATCATTTGAAATGTGTTGGCTCTAGTACTTGCATGCCCAGTTATGTTTGCTTCACAACACTGAGGTTATTGTATTGGGTTTTTTATTTTCTATGGATAGAACACCCAGGGATGTCACGTGAACACAGAGGCTGGTGGCAGTGGTGCTTAAACACTTTCCTGCATCATTCAGGTGGTTTCCATGGCAACAAATGTATAAACAGAGTTGGAACAGGAACTAGAATATGCGCTATAGTTGTTGATGCAAACTGACCAATGAAACATTGCAGAATAAAAACAAGCCTTTTTGTTGAGTTGTAGGTTTATACATATGCCCTTTGCAGCAGTACTGTGCGTTTTGCTAAATGAATTTGAGTACCTACATGAGAGAGTCATTTCTGCTGTGGAGTGCCGTAGTTGTTCGTTGAAGCCTCCTGTCAGAATATCTGCTTGCTCATACACCCATATGGCAAGCAGATATTCTGACAGGTCTGCAGGAGACCTGCATGGCATCAGCGATCTAGTGCAATGCTTTCCAGGCACCTTTGGACAAAAATAATAAATGCACATTTTTTTACCTGCACAAAATGTGCATTTATTATTATTGTCCAAAAGGTGATCTTATCCTTTTAACATATGTATCCTAACAAACAGATTTTTTTCTTTTTATTGTGAGAATGCAGTTGACAAGAATAATGTCTGCAACAGTTGACCAGCAAGTGAGATCGAGAGAGACAATATGCAGTATTAGTATAAGTTGAGAAAGACCTATTAGTGGTGTACATTGAGAAACATTTGAATGGATGGCGGTCGGACTAGTAAGTAGCATGCAAAGGGAAGAGGGGGATTCCTCAATTTTTAGATTAACACGTGCAATTGAATTTAGGAGAGGTGTGGGATGTCAATTGGAGGATCATTGGCTAGGAGTCTGAGTGGATACTACGGAGTATGTTGGAAACATTGCATTATAGATTGAGTTTCTATGGGCAAAGTTTGAATGAAAGATTCTCAAATCCATCATACATGCAAAGGACATCAACTTAACCACAATACAAGCTTGCTAACTGCACAAGCATTAGGTGTACATGTTATATTGGACATTGTAGACCTGAACAGATTTTTTTAAAATACATGTACTGTACAGGCCAGTAGCACCTTTGTTCAGTGGAATTGTGCACTCTGTTGTAGAGCTAGAATTGCCAGTTGAACCTTTAAAGCAGAACTAAACTCTCCTATTCTTTACAGCCAGGGAAGCTGCCATCATTGCCTCTGATCTGCAGTTGCCATGGTGCTGCATGTCATCAGCAATTTGATGGTTTGACAGTTTGCTTGAGAGCACAAGCAACTGTAACAATTCAACGGTAACATTCAGGGCATGCATTAAATAGAATTATTTTCAGAAACTGTTAAATTGATGTATTTAGTTCCACTTTACCATCTGTACACTGATTTCCTTCCACCAGCTTCTATCAATAGTGCGTTCCTACAGAGCTGCAGGCATCTAACTCATGCAGTGGTGTGGTGGAGAAATGCAGGCATCTGACACACACACCCAGAGTTGTCGGATGCTAAAGATTTCAGTGGCACATCTAACTGTGCAAGAGAGCTTAAGTTCATTCATTAGAGGCGGTACTGGTAAGTGTATTTTAATGAGAAATGGTCATGCAGACACCGTTGTCTTATAGCAGAAGTGAATTCTAAAGTGTTTGTAAATCCAAAATTTATCTTCGGTATATTTGCTATAAAATTTTACTGTGTACAGTTTTCTTAAGAAAACTATTTTGGTAATCCCTTACAGAGTTTCGTATCTGAAGATCCTTACAGTAGCAGCACTTCCTGTTGCAGGCTGACAATGCTTAGCCGCTGCCTTAGTGTTGTAAGCTTGCTATTTGCACTCCTTTCGTTGGCTATCGCATCTATCAGCCAGGGTGCCCTGCTGTGAACTGAATGAGCTTACACAGCTGGCTGATGGTGCTGCTGCCTAATTGAAAGGCAGTAGCTGTCAACCTGCAACAGGAAGTGCTGTTACTGCTGGCAGGATCTCCAAGAAGCAATTGTTGCAACTGATTAGTAAAAAAAACAATTTCCTACTGTGTACATTGAAACATGATCTCAAACATACTGAAATATAGATGTAGGCAGAATTCCAGGTTTAATTGCACTTTAAATAGTTTGGGCTCAAAGAGACTATTTTCATTGTAGAATGATGCAGTTGCTGTTTTTGCTGTATGAACTGTAGCAGCATTTGCCACATACAGTAAGTGGTGTGTTTTAGCAGCAGTATGGACCATTTCCAGTCAGCTGACAGAATAAAGATTTGGGCTGAATGCTTCTCTGTCTATTCTTGTCAATGATTTCAAGGTTTACTTTGATTGGCTGAGGTGGAAAGGCACGCAGATGACAGCGTGTCGGCATTTCCGCCTTGGCCTATCAGAGGTAGCCCCATATTTATTGGTAAAAATAAAGGCTTCTCCTGATTTTTGGAAAAAGCATTCAACCCAACTCTTTAACTCCGGCAGCAGACCAGAAGTCACCCATACTGCTGCTGGAACACAATTTTTATTATTATTATTGCACAGGATTTATATAGCGCCAGCAGTTTGCTCAGTGCTTTACACAAAACCCCCTTATTTTATGTAGCTCATGTTCATTATAGCACAGGCAGTGACTGCATTCTTCTGTGATGGGAATAGTTTGTTTGGACCAACTTAGCCCAAACTAAATCTTTTAAAGTGTGATTTAAATCTTGAATTCTACTTTAACCGCTGAAAGCAATGGTAGGCAGCCGGCTCTCGCAGCTAACCGTGCCCACTTGAATGTAACTATTCATGCTACAATCACATGCAAGTGATCGGCCTTAGACACAGGTCGTTGCATGTGATTACAGCATGAATGAATAATGCAAGTGGGCACGATTATGTGCAGCAGCCTCCCATTGGTTTCAGTGGGGCTGCCTACTCGCAGCTAATTGCTGGAACCTTTGCATGTAATTGCCGGCAGGGTGCATTCGCAATTGTGAATGCACCCTTGAAATATTGAAGCCAGGTAAATAGGGTTGTCAAAACAAGACTTACAATGGCAGTCCCATACTTGTGTAGCAGAACGCCTATAACACATGACATTTGGAGCAATAATTGTATTCCTGTGGTGCAGCTATGTCTGGTAAGATAGTCTAACCACAAGCCTACAGAGCACTTATACCCCCTTCCTGCCCAGGCCAATTTCCAGCTTTCAGCGCTGTTGCACTTTGAACGACAATTGCGTGGTCATGCAAAACTGTACCCATATGAAATTTTTATCATTTTTTTGTGACAGAGCTTTATTTTGGTGGTATTTAATCACCTCTGGGTTTTTTATTTTTTCTTAAACCAAAAAACCACTGAAAATTTTGAAGAAAAAAAATGTTTTTTCTTAGTTTTTGTTATAAAATTTTGTAAATAAGTGATTTTTCTCCTTCACTGATGTGCACTAATGAGGCTGCAGTGATGGGCACTGGTAGGTGGCACTGATGGGCATTGACAGGCATCACTGATGGGCACTGAAAGGCAGCACTCATATATGGCACTGATAGATGGCACTGATTGGCAGCACTGACGGGCGGCACTGATTGGCAGCACTGACTGGCACTGGGTGACAGTGAAAGGCAGCTCAGATGGGCACTGATATGTGGCATTGATGGGCACTGAAATGTGGCACTGATGGGCACTGGCAGGTGGCATGGATGAGCACTGAGAGCTGGCACTGATGGACACTGACAGGTGGCGCTGCTGGGGCTACACAGATCATCAGGGCACACTGATCATCAAAGCAATGTCCTCTCCGAGAAATGCCGATTACCGGCTCTCCTCTCGAGCTGTCAGCATGACAGCTCGTGGGGAGAGAAATGCCGATAACCGGAATTTCTCTATTTACATGTGATGAGCTGTGATTGGACACAGCTGATCACATGACCGGGCTGACATCTTCTGCTCTTTCCGTGGATCGGTGATCCCCTGTGTCCGAGGGACACAGCACACCGGCGATCTGCACGTTTAGAATTGGAGGACGTCATATGACGTCCTCCCAAAACGAGAGAACCACCTTGCGTCCGTCATATTACTATAGGGTGGGCGGGAGGTGGTTAAAGACACAGCTTTATCAATTGTATCACTTATATTGCACATGAATCCTCTTTGATAGAGGTATGAGAACGTTGTGAAAAGTCATGCAAAAAGATGAAAGTATATTTGTTTACTAATACTTATGTTTGACTGTGCTGTGGAAACTAAAAATTTAACCAGTCAGTTGAGATCCCTTTGTTTTGGATATTACATGTCAAATCCTTTGAGGTTTACAACCACTTTAAGTAAATCAGCTGTTTTATTCACAGACATGAAATGTGAACAAAGCATATCCCTCTATAGTGTGTACTTGTCTCGATTAAGAGCACTAAGTTTAATTTCTTACTGCTGCTTCGTTCCTCCATCAGCTTGAGTCACTTCTGACAAGTTTTCCTGATAACAAGATAAAAATGGTGACATGGGAGGGACCTCTAGCAGAGTGACAGCCTCAGCTCTGTTCCTATGAAAGAGGGGCAGTTTCTTCCCTCCAATCAGCTCTCAGATCTTTCCTCATTAAGCTCTGCAGAGTGTAGTTTAATTTTCTTTTTTAAGGGAAAATTTCAAGATTTTTTTTTTTTTTTTTGGCGTTTTTAGATGTATTGAATGGGTCTATTTGTTATTAAAGTACCCTCAACCCATGTCTTTGACCATAAAACACACTTGATTTGTATTTCTCCAGTGGACTGTAAGGAATTGCATGCATTTTTTATTTCACACATTTTCATGCACTGAGGGTCAGGTGTGTTTTGAGCAGGAGTGTGTGTTGGGGTGTTATAGAAAATGGAAAATATACACCTCCATGACATATTGCCTCCTCACTGCCTTTCAGACACCTGAAAAGCAATCTGTTGCGAATTGTTTTACAAAGGGGTAGCTAGCACTGCTACTAGTGCAATCCTAGCCTCAGTGAGGTCTCCAGAACTGAGAACAGTATTCTACGTGAGGTTCATCTAAAGAATCATATAGGGAAATCAGGATTGCCTTTCTTCAGTTGGTGATCCTGTCTTCCATAAAGGCTTCAAGGTGAAGAGTGTTTTACTGCATTGTAAAACGCCTAACACTGCTAGGACACACAGAAAACTGTTTTCTGTGTGTCCCGTTTGCACTGCAACACAGCCTGGAGCTATGCTAAAATGCAGACCTGCTGGATTTTATAGCAGTACACTGTACACCAGCGCAGCACATTGCTCTGCCACTGCAGTGCCTCCTACCTCAGTCGGAATTCAGCCTCAAAAACAGATAAATGGACAAAATTACTATTTTTCTTTGAAATGTATGAAAATCCTAACTGTAAACTTGTCGTATTTGCTCCTTTTTGGTCTGTGAAATATACCATCGAAAGCACTTTATTATATCAGTTCAAGAAACGCAAAAAGAAAACCTGTTGATCATGCCAGAAATTCAGATCTGTCTTGTGCACCCTTCTGTGTTATCCCAAGGAGCCATTGCTTTGGAGGTATTCTATAGTTAATTAAAATAACTGGGAGAGACTGATCTATTCCTTCAGTTTCATTTCAGTAAATGTGTTGTCAGGCTACAACAGGAAATTGGAAGCTGAGTGAACTTCTGCAAGGATTGAAAGGCCTTTTAATGCACTGGTAAAACACAGGGAAATGTACAGAGATGTACTGCATGTTTTTTTTTACTTCATTCTTTCTTTTTGTCACATACTGTGGTTAGCCGTAAGCTAAACTAGTAGGATCACCTAATAGCCATCCCTCTGTCGTGAATACTATATCTGTGGAACCTTGCTGCCCTGTTTGCCAGCTGGAAATATCCAGTACTTTTGTACATGGGGAAATTTTTTGACACTCACTCCTTCCTTTCATGAGACACTGCTTGGCGCCTGAGAAGCCATCATCAAGGGCTGAACAGTGTCACATGGTAAAGAAGGAAGGCCCTTAGGTTTGTGAATGCTGAAACAGGTTGCTGAGAGGAGGGGCTTGAATATTGTAAGTATAAGTGGAAGATATTTTTGTAAGAGACCTTGCTATTATCGTATTATTTGTCATGAGACATTTTTTATTGTGCTGGGCAACGGACAGTAATTCTTTTACAGTTATGCCAACTTGCATGCACATTTAACCCTCCATAGACTTAAGAAGGTGATTCATTGTGATCTTGCTGATCTCCGCTCTCTTGGGGGTGTTCAGAGCAGGTAGCAGGGAGGCCCTGTAAGGTCTTCTTAAGGGGAGTCTTTGGAACAGATTTTAAAGTTTTACTAAACCCATAATCCTGCAT